GGCGGGCCGGGTCCGTCTCCTCCGGCCGCCTCCTCCTGCGCAATGCCCCTGCCCGAGCTGATGGGTACAGGCTGCCAGCCGCTCCTGGGCAGCTGTTTTTAAAACACGGTTCCCCGCAGCTCCTAAGGAAAGACACTTGCTCACGCGCTTCCAAAACCTGGGAAGTTTTCCTGTTTTCTGAACTGCCAGAGGCTCGTTTGAAACGTGGTGGCTGCCACGTCCCTGCTTGGAGGCGGCCCGACGAGATAGCGCATCCCGGCAGGTCACAGGGTCCTTCACGCCGGGGTCTCCCTCTGCCAGCGAAAGCCCCGGCCAGCCCTGCGGCCTCCCCAGCTGGCCCAGGGCCGCGGCGGAGCCGTGCGAGCGGCCTGCACAGGCGCATCCCCACGGGCTCCTCGGGGGAGCTCATGAACATGCACTCGGTGTTTGCTCCTAGCTGAAACTGCTACCGTGCTCTACGGCTGGGTGAGCGCTGTCCACCCGGGAGGAAGAGCGAGCCCAGGTGGGAACCGTCCTGCCACGGAGCCTCCACGCAAGGCCAGGCGAGCGCCAGCGGAGGCCTCTGCGAGGCCAGGCCACCCTGCTCTTAGAGAGGACACGGTGAGAAGATGGGAAAGGACAACACGTGTGGTTGCGATAAGCACAGCGCACACCAGGCGACTTCCAAGACCTACAGAAACGCGACGGGCTGAGCTGCCGCCTGGAAAGCAAAACCTAGGGTTAAAAGCCAAGGATGGTGAATGATTCAGATTTCCTGGCCATGTGAACTGCTTCATATTCTTCCTAAACTGCATACATGGTATGTCAGATTATCCAATAACCCAACTACACTTTAAAATATTCCATTTGTGCCTCAAGATCATGTCAACATTACTATGAAACTCACAGCTGTGGAATTTCACAGCATTTTTTATTTTAAAATTTGCAACCTTAAGTAATTAACACCATTTGCATTTAATTTCCTTGCTATTTCTTAAAAAATAATACAAAATAATGGTTAGGTTTTGTGAGTTTGTAAATTTGTGCACTTCTGCTTTATTAACCTGCTTGAAGTATGCAACTAATTTGATGCAACTTCATAAACTGAAGAGCCAGATTAGAAATCTTCAACACTGAATGCAAAACCTACACCACCAGCCCCCTTTATTTTTCCACAGCTGCTACGTGTTTCAATTACCACCTATCACTCCAGGAAAGAGCTAGTTTTGGCACAAGGGAATTCTGCAACGTAGTGTCATGGTGTTCATAGACAACAGTGTAAAGAAACCATAAAAGACTTGTACTGCATATGCACCAGGCCACTTTCATCATTTAAACTGCTTTAAAAAAAAGTATTTTAGTCCACCTTAAAAGGGATTAAGCAACATGCAAAGATTTAAGGAGCAGCTATTTTTGAACTATATGTATTTAAAAAGGTTGCTAGTCATCAGATCGACTGAAGTCTTAATGAATAATAGAAAAAAATATGGCCAAACAGCTCACTCTAAATCACCTTTGGGCTGAGACCAAGTAATTACAGCTTTAGAACAAAAGAGTGACTTCTGAGAAAGTTGCAGGGAGGTCAGCAGAAGAGTCAGAATGCAACCAGAAAAGTGGGGAAAAAGTCAAGGGAGAAAAAAAAAAGTTACCTCCTGAATCTTGATTAACTTTGTTTCTAGATCTCCTGCTGCTGCTGAGTGGGAAATCGATACTGTAAAAGAACAGCAGCCTGTAGCACAGCAGGGCAAATGAAACCCCCTCTCCTCCTCCCCAAATGATTTATTCAGTAGCAATAATCATACCAATCAAACCTAACTTTCTTGAGTAGAAAGGCACCATCTTGCTTCAAGAATGGTTCTTTCTCTATCAAATTTCAGCTTCTTACCTCAAAATCATTTTAGTGCTAGAGCTGCTCTAACTCAGACTCCAAAAATATGCACAAGGAAAAAAATATTTTTCTGTATTCAGAGAGTTTGAACTATTTCTCTTCATAGTTTGGAAATTAGGCAAAAACTGTTCATGGAGAATACCAATCCAAAACTTGAAAACCTTGCAGAAGTTTTTAGATCATCAAACAACTGTTGAAATAGAAACTTTGGCTGCAGAAGTCAATTAAACTCTAGCACATTTAGCACTACTCTAACGATGCTAAATTTGACCCTGAGTTGATGCACCCCTGAAATATAACTGAGAGCTGCACTATTCATAGGGAGGCAACAGATTACACTATATAGATTTTAGATTACATTAAATAATGTAAATAAAGAAAAACAACTTGAGCAAAATCATCATTCAAAATCATCAGAAAAGCTTATCTGAAAACAGAGAACTTCCACCAATTATTATACCAAAAGTGATATATCCTGCGAGGGTTAAACTTTGGTCTTGCTATTTTCTTTCATTGGCATTCTGAAGAATTCTCCTTTGGGTAAAAATTTTCCTTCCTTGGCCTCAGTCCAGCGGTTTTAAAATTTACTCCTTGAAAGGCTAATAAACTAATTCCAGCCATTTTTGAGCTATCTAAAAGTGAAATAATTTCCCTGACTTAAAATACACGGATGTTTTGCTGCTGATGTTGCTCAAATACAAACGATACAAAATAAAAATTTCTCGATGACTAATTCCTGAAGGGAATCCAACCCTTTTTAATGGCTTGGAAAAAAAGAAAAAAAAAAAGGCCCACGCAGCCTGCTGAACTTGAGGGCGCTGCAGGAGGAGGAAGGAACCCCGACCCGGCAGGACTGCAGAGGTCCTCACAGAGGAGTCTTTCAGGTCTGTTGCAAAACTACATTTTATCTTTTGTGCCTTTTGAGGAAGCAAAGGGGAAAGACCACAACCTTCTCTTTCTTTCCTTGATGCAATTTCTTACCTACATTTCTGAATCTTGGAATAAAGATTTACGCAGGGTTTCCATGCCTTAATTTCAGCTTTCGTTATTCAATTTTCAGTTCTCGATTTTCAGTTCTTGATCGAGAGCTGCCTCAACCCCTCGCAAGTGCCAGCTACCAGATTGCTCCCTAAAATTCCCTAGCGATGCTGAGCACCCCTGGGAAGGCTCTATGAACCACAACCAGGCCCCATTTTCCAACAGAAACCCCTCATTCCAGAGCGCAGACAAGAAAAATTTCAGCCTAAAAGGAATGAAGTCTCCTCCAGCACAGCTTCTCTACCATGTAGATTTAGAGAGGAAGCAGATGCTGATTTTAAAACAAAACAAAAAACAGGAAATTTCTCTTGAAACTAATTAAAGATAGCTGTAATTTTTATTCTCTAATGTGATCATGAGTATAGGATTCTTAATGTGGAACTACATAGCTCAGAGAATAAAAAGAAATGCAAATTTTGTGAAGTTTTGCACAGGGAAAAACAAGCGACTAACAAGCGTGAGCTACGAGAAGGGAGCGGGTGAGAAAACTCCCGTCCACGAGCCCTGAGGAGGCAGCGCCAAGGGAGCTCTACAGCTCCAAACCTGTAAGGGCGCCATAAAAATAGAAAAAACAAAGATTAGAAATAATTCCAATTCTAAGTGGAGAGCATTTGGGACTTCTGCTACCTCCCAGCTTTATGACAGAATAGGCATTGCTGAATGATGTAGGAGTTTAGTTTTCCTGCTTCCCAAGTAATTCCAATCATCCCAATTACTTCCCAAGTAATTCCAATCATCAAGTTCAGACCCATCTCTTCTCCCAAAGGCCAAAGCCTCACGACCACCCGCTCTGTCCATCCGCAGGTGGGTTGAGTCCTGCTAGTGACAAAGAAAGCTCAAAGCAGAGCAAATCACCAAGGACCACTCCAGAGGAAGGGGAAGAACAGGTATCTTTCAGCAAGCAGCAAAGAAGTATTTCGACTTGAGACAGCACCAAAAAGCACTGGAAGAAAGAATCTGTGGAAGGAAAAGAGCCCCTGAGCTTGCTGCAGCTACTCTGATGCTAAACTGGTGACTTTAACCCAGAACCTGGCAAATATTCAAGGGAGACGCTGACATAATTCGACCAATTGGTGGGCCAGACTTTGGGAAAAGAGCATCGGATGTTCAGAAAAAACAGCAGGCAAAGAAAAGAAATGTCTAGGCCTTGTCACTGCCATGGCTCCTTCATGGCCCAGACAACAGAGCGGACTGGAAGGCTGCGGGTCCCCGGCAGCAGGAACAGGCACTGAGGGAGCCTCAGTCGTCAGTGCTGCAAGGACAAGCACGTCCAGGACCGCTGAATGCCAACGGGACAGGGTTTTAGCCAGGACATGGACTGCACATACAGCGAGACGAAATGCCAAACGAAGAACCACATCCTCAGCGTATCTGTGACCACAAGTTTATCTCACACTTGTTATGATGGTGCAATACCAGAAGCTTCTTCTATATAAAACCTTAGATAATATGTTGCAAAAAAAACCATTAAAAAACATGTCAAGTGCTGCAGTCATACGATTTTCAGTGTTGCTATTGATACAGGCCAATAAATAATTCTCATTAGATAATAAAATTTTAAAATAAAAGTTTTCCTTTATCCAATACTTAAAACTATTACATACATATTCCATAGCAGGCAGGTACACTTCTCATCTTTGATATCTCACATTCTTGGAGCATCACATTTATGGCGCTGCATCAAGTTTTCAGTTTGGTTTCTTGTTGACTAGTGTATATGAATATATATTTCCTTTTAATTTTCATCCATTTAAAGCAATTTCAATGTATTTTAAATGTTACTACTACACGCATCAATTTACAGCAATGTAAAAAGCAATTTTTTAGTTTCACATATATAAAGTGTGCTTCTCTACAACTATATTGAAAACTGCTAATAAAAATTTCCACATTCAAAATTAAAAAAAAAAAACTTCTTCTGTAGCTGCACGTTAAAAAGACTGTGGTGCAAAAGGTCTCTAACAAGTTCATAAGAAAACTATAGTATCAATGATAAATATATGTCAAAAGATCAGGAATGCAACCAGACCATTTGATGCATAGTTTTACTTCATGATCAAAAAATAAGTTGATTTATAAGGAAAAATAAACTGGATCACACACTAGCAGATGACCAATTGATTAGTTGTATTAGTATAGCTCCTGCAAATTCGAACTCAAATAAGGATCCCATAGGCATGGAAGGGAGAGGGAATTTAAAAGCATTTTTTTGGTCCCAAATCTAAATATTTCAATCATTTTTGCAAAATTGTTGCAATGCTGTGATGCAATACTAAAGCCTCTGTAAGACAGCAAACAATGCTGCTTACTATTTTATGAATTTTTGCTTCAGCTGCAGAGTGCAGCTAAGAGTGCCCTTATTCAAAGGACTTCTAGGAATTTTGCTGGTATTTAGAAAGGAAAACAAGATATTGACAAACAATTCTGCATGTATCTAAGGACACAGAAGAAGGTCTACAGTACTAAACAGCGCCTGATAAACACGCAATCACATCCTTAAAGGATGTATCACGAGACTGATGCCAAACTGAGCATTTAAGAACGCAATTCACTTTTCAGCTGTGCATTTGCTGACTTCTGAGAGTTTAAATGTTTAGGCTTATTATGGCATTAGCATTCACTACATCTTACTCCTGGATTTTCAAAGCTTTCACGTGGAGATTCCCTTAGGCTCTTTTTAGACATTCCAATCAATCGTTATATTAAAGAACGTGTGTGCTGATAATGCTATTTGCAAATGAGGAGTTTAAGCTTCTACAAATCTGACACACATACTTCAAACTTTGGTGAGAGAAAATAAAAATACTGAAAGGCTCATGAAATAGCTTCAAGTCCCTATTATTTTGTTATTTCATATTCTTATTTCTTCAAATTACACTATTTGTAGGAAACAGCCATAGAAAAAAAATCCCCATTTTTGCAATTAACTGACTTAAAATTGGATCGTATTATCGAAAATTCAAATTGAAGTCACTTCTGACAAAGCATGAGAAATTTTGTTCCAACAACACATTCGGAAAGTGACCTCAGCTGAAAGAATGAGTATGGGGGTGGATTTAGAAAAATCATCTTAATTTTAAATACAAAAACAGCAGCATCCCACTGCCAAAATAAAGCAGGGTAAGCAATTGAGCAACCCCTTATTACAGGTCTCTGTGAGTATTTAGTAGCAACCACCAGCACTTCGAGTCTTATCCATGAAGAATCTCTTTCTAGGAAGAACAGCAGCCCGCTGGACACGCAGGAACACCCCCGCACCCTCTCCACACACCGACACATCCCAAGAATTGGCCACCCGGCAGATACGTTACAGCCATGGAAAGAGCAGCAGCAGAGGAACCTTCAAGACCTTCCCCCAAAATACATCCTGAGCCTGAACATTACCCCAGGATTCCCAAAGTTTGAGCAGGAGAGAGATACCTCTATGCGCTCGCACATGGGTCTGGAAACAGTTGTAATACTTGTATTTCTTCCCACATATTCCACACTCATAAGACCCTGAAAAACAAGACAGAAAAGCATACATCACCATATTAGATCAGGAAAAAACAGCCTCACCACATACTTATCCGTAAACTGGGGACAAAAGAATGCAGTTTGCAGAAAAGTAATTTTTGGAAGGTTCATGGAGATAAATGCAGGAAATCACTATCCCAGACTCAATTCTTTTTTCAGCCTAATTTAAGATTCCTTGGCATATTACCCTGAACTTACATTTACAGTATATCTTTATAACTTTCTTAACATGAAAGGCTCACTCTCAAAATAGCCAGACTTATAATTTTATAATAATGACTAATATTTCCTATGAACAGAAATAACCTTGAATTACTTTTCAGTAAATTTCTAGGATCTGGAAAGGAAAGCTTTTCAGCTGAAAAATTAAAAAAAAAGGTAATATGTTATCTTCAGGCACGCAGTTTTCAAAATTTCTCAAGAAGTGCACAGTGGACAAATTTCTAAAGAAACCCACAAAGATTTGGTAAATATCCACCCAGAGGAAACCAAGCAGATACAACTGGAACTTTTGACCTTTGTAAGTAAAATCACATGACCAAAGCAGTCTCTTTTCTCAACTTGTGTATCTAATTCCAGAAAACACACATCTGCAAACAGTCATTTATAACGAAACCAGAGAAATGAGGCTGGGAGAAGAATTTGCAACGATGAAATTATGCAATGAATTTAGCCTGCTAACTTGGCAGACAGAAATTTCTTCAAATTTGTTATCTAAGTTTACTCTTTTTTTTTTCTGCTACGAATTCGTGATTGGCCATCGTAAATTGGGCATCCAATTTATACATCCTTGCAATCTTTTGCATCCATGCAAAATCTACCGCATTTAGTTGCTGCCTATCAGCAGGAGGAAGTAGCTGTGATCCTAAAACAGCTTCCTGGCAGGGTAAGAGCAGGAGGAGAAAGTGAGAGAAGTAATAAGTGGTGAATATTGTTCTTTTGTGAATGTAGTATCTGATTTCCACAATTTTGCATGCAACGTAGCAACAATCCTTCACTGTTCATGCAAAACAGTAAAACTCAGGGACGAGTCACAACCAAATCCAGAGCATTCACACATATATCCTAACAAACCCCAAACATGCTTTTGCAGCAATACTTACCCACTGCAACTAAAGAGTGAGGTCTCTCCAAACAAAACTAACCATGCTTTAGGAATAGACTCCTTATTTTCTTTCCCTTTCCTATATTGCTCACAGCTTGGCAAGAAAATCACTTCCTCTGGCTCAGAGCAGTGCTGAATTCCCTATCCATCAGGAGCATCATTTGGGATTGCCTTCTGAGCTTTGGCAACTAGCTTCATCACTGATGCTAAAACAAACTATGGTAGAATTCACTACACACAAGAGCACACACCAAAAAAATACTCCAAAATACTGCTATTACCATCAGTTGACTATGTCTTGATTTGCTCCACAGACTTTTAATTATCAGAACTAGTTGTATTTTATGTACATAAATACATCTATGTGTGACAATCACCACCTCTGGTCATTCCACACGGGTTTTTCTAAGCAAAATTCTGGACATCAGGAGGTCAGCAGTATCTGCTGGACCTCGTCTTCCATGTTCAAGGATTGATTATATTCATCATAGTCTCCAAAACTCTTTTCAGGAAACTCTTCCAAACTGGAGTCCAAAAGCCAGCATGGCCAGAAGACAAGTACCCTCCCAAGCACTTGGGCCCTACCAAGCAGTTAGCTTGTGCCCTGCTGTACCAACAGCAAAAACAACGGCGATATTCCCCAACAGCTCCGCACGCGCAGAGACCACTAAGACCTCAACAAAAAAAAATGATCAATGAGGAGCTCTAGCCTCACTTTTGTTTCCATGTTTCTTTCTCGTATTCCTTGAGAGATGGACTGTAACACACAAGTTCAGTTCTGCAGTTTTCCATGAACAATGTAATCTGTACAAGTGGCTTCTTAGTACCACCCCACTCAACCATGAACCCATGCAGTCCCCAGGGCAAGTGGTTCTGCTTGGAAAGCAAGAGCAGGAACTGAGGGCAGGTTGAGGACCATCCCATCCCATGGTCAGCACTTTGTGCGGATGTCCCTCAGCTCCTAGGTCTCAAGACAAACTGGGACACAGTCTCTGAGGAGGGCACCTCTACCCACATCCTACACACCAAGAGCCGAGCACTACACCACGAAGACAGTCTAGTTGGCAGAAGTTGTCAGAGAAGCTCATTACAGCATCAGAGTCCTCCAGGCACCAAGGGACAACTCAAAGACAAACACTGGGCACTCAGTACACCACGGAATTGAGGGGCAGGGATGCAGATCCTAGAATTACAGAAAGGAGGGATTCTTGCCTGAAAAATGTGATATTAAAAAGGAGGAGAGATGAAATGAAGAAAAGACATCCCCATGTTAAGGCCTTAAAATGAACATGACTGTGTTGCTTTGGACACCGCTGCTGTAGCCATAGTTTGCTCTGGCCTTCGTCCACATCAGGATGTGTCATGCAGGTTAAAGCTGTTCGTGGTACAAGGGAAGGGTTTTGGGTTAGTTGGTGCGTTTAGTTTTGCCAGGCTTTTACTGAGCCTTGCAGGTGGAATCTGTGCAACATTCCCATTGCATCCAGAGCTCGCCCTTGCTCTCTGAACCCTGGTTAGACTTTCACACCCTTCCGCCACGTACCAGACGTGTATCTCAATGCATGGTCAAAAATCCAGGCCTCTGAATATCCATTTTGTGTATAACCAGCTGGAGAGCCATGTTCCACTGCTTTTCCTTCTCAATTGTGCAAAATGAAAAATCAGAAAAGAACCCTTAAAGCAGATGCATTTCCAAAGGATAATGATGGCTGAAGCCTCTTCAAAACATGCAAGACCGATCTGCACCTGTGGCCTGGTAACAAGATGTCAGAGGCCACACAGCGTCTCAAGGCTTTTGCAGCACTCTTTTATTTAGTATAACTGGGGGAATCCAAAGCACTTGTGAATTAAGCATGCCAAACAGCTCAGTAACTGCGACATGAGCACCATGACATGAATCAAGTACCTAACAGCGAGATTGATAGTCTCAAAGCAGTAGGATTCACTCTCTACTTTTTCTCCGTAACGTTACTGATTTAATGCACTACTTGAAAAATCCTCTCAAATACATTTCCCCCAGTAAATCATGGGCTGGACTGAGAGTTTAAATAGTCACATATAAAATTCCTCCCGATCAACTCTCAGCTATCTCTGGCCTCCAAAACACAAATACTGACCTGAAGGTATTCCCAATGTTACAAGAGGATTCGCATTAGGCAACTCCCCTGTTCTCTCATCTACAACAAAATAGCATTTTTTCTTTCCTTTCCCTTCCTTTCCTTTCCCTTCCTGCTTCATGGTAGACTTGTCTGCCGTTTTGCCCTGGCACGTGGCAGTGTGTTGGAATTATTCAAATGACACTGCTCCAAGGTACATGAAGAAAAACCCAAGCAGGAAACTGCATCTCTGAGCTGCGTGTTGTACACACCAGGTACACACCAAGGGAGAGCCACTTTGCGGCATCCGCTTTGATCCATCATGGGATTCGAGCTGTTTCAAAAGGCTGGAAACAAAGAGTTTGGAGTAGGCCAAAGTTCAGGGAGAGACACTGGTGCCTGTAACCAAACAGGAGGCAGCAGATACCAGGCCTAATTTGATGAAAATGTTAATGTGAGTAACAGTAACCAAGCTGGGAATCTCTTACTTTGCTTAAAGCAATAGTTAAAAATACGAACAGAGAATGCTCCTGCAGGAGAAGCGTGATCTGAAACAAGGCACAAAGGATTTCAGCCAGGTCCCAACGCTTGGTCCCTTGGGAATGTTGTCTGTCACTTGGAGCCACATGTGCTCGAGGGTCTTTGACACTGTCCCCAGCTCTGCCAACACCCCCATGCAGTTGCCAACCCCCCCATCCCATTACTAAAGGTAGTGTCTGGGGGATATGCATGAACGTACCAGGAGACGGATGCATTTACTTCTCAGTCATGACTTCATCCTCCACTGAAGAGCACCATATAAAACAATCATTGTCAACACCTCAAATCTCAACTTCCTCGATGAAGGGGAATAAAATCCTACCAACGCCTTGCCTTTCTTCACTGCTGAAGTGATTCCAACACAAGGATACCGGATCGCTTCCCAACAGAGGCTTCAGCAGAGAACATGCAACCTTCACTCCAGAGGCAGGAAGTCCTTAGCTGTTAGCAATCTTGGGCTGCTTAAGAGCAGCAGCAGAAATGGACCGGGAAGTGGCAGGCATGGGACATTTCTATTGGAAGTTGCACAGATGTCTGCAACTATGGAAATGGGGCCTGTTTGTGGTTTCTGTGGGGAGAGGGGACCAGAAGAATTGGCTGGGAACCAGCTGAAGAAACCACAAAGAGCTGATATCTGGGCACTATGGTCTGGCCACACAGAACATACTTGTGGCCAAACAGAAAAGTTATTCAGAGCCACCTCCCCAACAAACAAGAATGACAGGGCTGGATGAACTGAGACACTTAATGGCCTCTTCACAAAGGCACCAGCTGCTAATGCCAATTCCCCCAGGATCAAGTTGCCTTTAGGGAGACCCAGGGTTGGGCTAGAACATCACAAACATGATGCACATTTCATGTGAAGAGGCACTTTGGGCTGAAAGTTCCCCACTTTTCCTTCTTCCAACAAACACTAACTCAGAAATAACTCCTCGCCCTTCTCCTCCACAGCCACCCCAAGCCAATCCCAGTGCCATCCGTGCGTTCTGCAGGTATGACATTCCAAGGCTGCCCACAGCAGGAAGGCTGCCTGCTGCCTGTTTCCCACTTTGGGCAACAATATAGTCAACTTCATCCAGAAACCACCCTTCTGCAGGGACATCATTTGTGGACTAGCTGCTGCTGCACAGCCAGCAGCCACGGGGAGAAAGAGGTGCAACGTGGCAAACACCGGCTCTAAGGCTGCTTTCAGCAAAGGCTACTAACCACAGCTGAAGGAGATGCTCCCTCATGGTCCAGGCAACAGCCACCTCTCTACCCATTCGTCCTGGTGGGCTGGGGACACCTCCATCCAGGGCTGCCTTCTCTGCCATGCAGTCAGCACCCTCTCGAGGGCTGTGGAGGCACAAGAGTGCCACGTCCCTTCGACTGGCTCTGAAAATACTCAAGTATTTCCTCCCAAATTAGATTAAGTTGGAACAAGTTATGGATTAATGAGCTTTCCCTAAACATTTTTACTCTGCATAAACAGCAGCTATTTCCCACTCTGAAGAGAGAACTGTCTGAGTGACTGTCCTAGCTGGGGAAGGGAGGACAATGATGCTCCCAGAATAGTCTCTCACCTAATGACACAATCCAGGGTTTCTTTCCAACACTGTGGACGATGACCAAGCAAAAAGGAGAAAACCTGAACATCAATCCAAATGGTTTCCCCATCTTTTCTAACCCCCCTCAAGTCAAAACAAACCCTGTGGCAATACTGGGAAGATAAAGTTAGTTTTCTTCCTAGCCCCTTAAAGAAAGCAAGGTCCAACGGTGTCCTCTCCTTTATGTCAACACCTGACTTTGGCTCTCCAACTGCTGTAGGGACCTGCTCCGTCTTGGAGCCAATGGAGGAGTCACTGTCAACAAGACTGGTACCTCTTCCAGGATCCTGCAGGAAGACCCTTCCCTGGCGCATGAAGCAGGAGCGGGAGATGTTCTCCTTGTTCACAGAGAAAAACCCTGCTACTTCTCATCGCAGCTGGAGGTAGGGTAGGGACAGAAAAGACTCTTTTTGGAAGCAGCTGGTCTCATAGCCAGCCCAAACTCTTTTTTCCTACAGAATTACTAGTTATCAGAAAAAAACAAAAACAAAAAGCAACTTGTAAAAAAAATGGCTTGAAGCAAAGTCTAATTATTCACAGAAAGCACCCACTTCCCTTAAAATATTTCAACTTTTTCTCAAGCCTTCCTCTGAATTTTCTCATAATCTATGCTGAACCAAGACCTGGCCATGGATTTTGTATCTGACTGGTGAACAAGTGCTTTCAATACGTGAAAAGAGGAAGAGTCTTTCCCCCACAGTTACCCTAAGTTTGGTTGAGTCTTCAGATCAGGTACAAACAGATAACGACAGTTAAAGAAACAGGCAATAACCCGAAGCCAGGATCCAGGGATTAATGTGAAACCCAGCTCAGGTGCATCAAGCAGAGCTGGGCGTTCAGTAACCCGCTTTCCAGAGGTTTGTTCTGCTCCCCACACCTGGGACACAGGGAATCGACTGATGGGGCACGTAGCACAGAGCTTACCGAGTGTCTGCTGGTTGCGAACCCCACCTATGACCACACAGATCTCTGCAGGGACATCTCCCGGCCCATCTTTTATGTTCTTCTTGGAATCTTTGGTGTCATCCTGCCAGATCACCTCTTCAATATAGTCATCTGGTACCTCTGTTTTCACTTTCACCTCAGTCATCATTCCAGCTTCTTCACTGGGTGAGGACTGAGATGTCACAGAGTCAGAGCCCTCTGCCTTCGGGCTCCTTGGGCTCCTCTTCAAGCACTCCCTGAATGGGGGGAAAAAGGAGAAAAAATGAATTCTCATTTTCAAGCTCTCACTTTTTAATCGCTAGAACCTAATTAAAGGTACTTTTGCTTAATGTAATTTATTGAAAATGAGTATGTGAGGTGGTATGTGTGTCTGTCATATACAGAAAATAATTAAAATTTAACCAGATAAAAGTAATAAAATTGTTTGCTAGTAATGAAAACAACCTTAATAATCATAAACAACAGTAACAGTCATAAACGGACTGAATTATTAAAGAACACAGAATTTTGCTCGGTTCCCACCAGGTCTAGGATCACTACTCCAGCAGTCCTGATATCACACATAGTGCCAAGACTAACCCATGTGGGCAGAGCGAACAACGTATGGTTCTGATATTAATAATTTTGAGCTATCTTTTCCCTTGTGCACTCCTCCATTAGTTAACCTACCACTCTCTTTTAACCCTTCAAAGCAACCTAACTCTCATCCTATGGTATTCACTTGACCCTATTTAACAAATAGTGATGATCCAAAGGAGACAGTAAGCAGAATGTTTATGATACTTGGGGAGACAGACACAAATATCAGAGATGACAGAGAAAATGTGGTGGCCAGGAAGAGATGAGGAGAGGAAAGCAAGGGTCTGGAGAATTTAGAAACAAACTAAGGTAAAAAGTAGGTGCTTTCGTTTTGGAAACAAAATGCTATGAAATTAACTGAGGAAAATAATCTATATTAGTAAGCAATTATTCAAAATCCTTTAACCAAAGGAAGAAAACTGGAAACTCTGAAGTCTCAAGATAACATCAGCAAATTCGGTCTGCTAAGAAAATAGATATTCCGGCAAAAGACAGAGGGATTTTAAGCATGACAGATGAACATTGTGTAACAGGTCAAAATGTAGCTCCTTTTTCAAATGTACCATCCCCTTCATCTAGTATGAGCACCTGCTTTTAGGACCGACTATTAATAATTTTCAATATGCAATGCAAAAATAAAATAATTGCTGGTTCATTTTGTACAGAAATCAGAAGAATGAAACATGTAGCAGCTCAGGCTACATAGAAAGAGACTTTTATAAAGAGTGCGATTATTTAGTCACATGGACATAAGGAACAGCTGAAGGTGTCTGAAAAAAATACAAGCAAAGATAATAGACAAAAATAATTTTTTTTTCTCTTGAAATGCGATTTACTGACAGGAGTTAGACCATTAAATCAAGAAATGGTTAAAGGGAAAGAATTCCTTGGAAGCCATTGCTTGGAATATCATGGAGAGGTAGAATAAAATGCAAATTAAATTGTTACAAAACTAACTCCTGAAATGGCTTCTGCCACTGGTTCTGGAGTTAGTAGACAAGTCAAGATGCTGTAACTCAAAGAAAAAGCGTTGAGCAAGTGAGCCTGTGAGGATGGAGATGAGAGGAACAGATGAATGAAGTGAATGAAGAGGACCATCTTCTGCAATAATTACTGCACAGACTCCTACACTGGCGTGTGGCTGCTTTTCAAAATGGGTCACTCACATTGCACACTCATTATTTCATCCTCTCTTATTACAGAATGAAATGTACAATTAATAGCCCCCTTACAGAAAGAATTAGTCTTGACCTGCCTCCCCGCTCCTCCTCTTCCTCCTCACACATACTGCCTCCCATGCTCCCCCAATCACACCAGGCTTTTACAAGTGAGAAAGATGAATTAAGACAGAGAAAATATGGTTGAAAATCGGAATTTCTGTATGGTAATGTTATTGGATGTCCAAAAGGCCCATCCATCACACAGGACGGCAATGTGCCTAACAGTCCATTCTGCAGCCCAGGGAAAGGCAGCCAGCAGAAGCGAAGTACAAAACATGCAGCAATCAGAAACAGGGGGTATCAATTGCAATCAATCAAACCTTGGAGTGTGAAATACAACACACTGATCACAGGGGTAGAGCTGCATGGGGGGAATCCTTCCCTTGCTGAGGACAGGGGAGGAAGAGCAGAACAAAAATCACTGACCCCACACTTGATGGGCCCCACAATACTCTCACCGAGGGGCAGAAAGGTAAAAGCCAGTAAAAGCCTGGCTTTGTACCTGAACCAAGGGGCAGATGATGGCACAGCAAGATGTTCTTGCTACCCAGCATCACGGCAGGAACCAGGGGATCTAGCAGTAAAATCTAACATAGCTAACAGTGGAGGCTGAGGATACAACTTTCTGAGGAGGCGACAAGTTTGGTAAGAATAGAGAGCCCTTCTGAAGGCACGTGGCTCTGCACCAAGTCACGTCCTGCCACGATACAAATTAGCCACACACACCATGAAGGGTTCAAAGGCCACGCGATGCAAGAGAAAATGCCGCCTTCAGCATGTGCCACTGCTGAACAGAGGTGTTTCCATAGGGCTTCTGAAGTGATTGATTTGGGGCAGTTTTGTTAATGCTCTGGAATTAAATTAAAGGTTATTGCTGCTGAAATGTATGGGTGACCCAAGGGGGAACTGGGCAGAGAAAAGTGGTTGTGACAAGGAGACCGAAGTTGTTGATCCCAATTGCTGTATGAACTGGGCCCACACGAGCCAAGCAGACCTGGTAGAGTCCAACATGTTGGAGAACACAGGGTGGACTCACAAATACCCAACAGTGTGTAAATCTGCAAGCCTGGCGCACAGGCCATGTGGAAACCACATGGAGACGTGCTCTGACCTGAAGGACAACTGCAATTCTTGGATACACCCACCCGAGAACACCCACTCGAGAGCTCCAAGAGGGAACCAGGAGGTCATTTGATCTCTATCCGAAGCAGCGATGAAACCCCTCCTGGTGTACTGCATACAGACCGAGCGCCTCCGCTTTCAAAAGGAAATCGGTAAATGTCGAGAAGGTACAAAACAGAGGTACAGAAGTGGCTTGAGCATGGAAAAATAATTTTTAAAAAAAAAGCTTTATGACCTTATGAGACCAAAACAAGTTCAATCTATCACATCCAAAGGGAGACCGAAAGCTTATTTGATTGTGGCATATTATCAAGTTCATGGAGAGAAAATAATGCCTTTCGTTAATTTGGCAAGGAACAGAAAAAGAGCTCATTGCTGGACAAAGAAGACAGCTTAAATGAGATAGAAAATATCAGCATTGATAGCGGCCCACTGGAACAACCATTTTTCAAAGAATGCCTTGAGAGAAAACAAACCTCTTTTAAGTCTTCAAACCCAGAACATCTGTATCTGACTAACCCCTGGTTACTGGGCTCAGGACAATGTGCACTGGCTTGAAGCATGCAAGCAACCTAACTCGGTGGCCCCAAGCTCTAAGGATACATAATCTGCTAGACCAGACTGACAGGCCCTCAAAAACTTTGCTCTTCACACACCCTGACTTTCCATCTCTGCCAAGAAAGTAACTTTTTGGTTGAATCACCTGGTCAGTGGGACAGGAAACCTAAATCTGCAATTATTAAAAGCAATACTATCCCTCTCACAATGGCCCATGCCTTGTAAATCTGAGCAGATACTCAAGTGTACAGAAGGACACCTGCTCCAAATACTTTAAGAACTGTACTCTGCATAATTTGTGAAGTTCACACCACAGAAAGGCTGAACAAAGCTTGCACATCCTCTCAAAAACAAAGCAAAGCAAAAAAACAAACCGAAACAACAACAAAAACAACCACAGCACTGCTGTTTTTTCCACACCAGATGACACCTTCTCTGTCCTCTAACACTTCCTAGGAGAGATGAGAGCACACGCCAGCAGATGCACGTGTCAGGGAAGCAAACCTGCAACCTCCCACCTTCCACGGCCCTCGTGTGAGCAGCCTGGCATCACGCACACGGTCAAGTGCCGCACGGTCTTTATATATCTTTATATATCTTTATAAAGACTAATACACAGTCTCTGAGAGCACTGTGCTTTGTTCACCACTCTCCTATTTCCTCCTGCCCTTGCAGCCCCGGATGCACCATCCCTAAATGCAGGCACCTGGAGATGCCTGCATTTTGTTGCCCAAGCCAGGTTCTGTTTCGCAGTAACAAGGGCCCAGGCATCCGACTGCACTGATGCAAAATGCAACACACCATCCACAGGCACAAGTGCAATCTGGAGAAGGCTGTGGGGAGCTGCACCCCGCTGCTCCTGCTCCCACGCAACCCGTAAGCAGTTTTAACTGCCTTTCTCATGACCACTGCTGCTTTGTTTAAATAGGAAGAACTGTGGTCTTACGCCACTCTTATCATTTAACATCTCACAGAGATTTGCTAGCCACTAATTTCAGTTTTAGCAAAACTTTCAACTCACTCCAGTCAAATGGCCTGACAGAACCTTCACAGTTCTGCAAAATACTTTGGAATAAATGCAAGCAGAGGACAAAACCACCCCAGCTCCCGTCTTATGCAGGCACACTAGCCAAGTGTGGGGCCCAGCAACTGCAGTTATTTCATATGATGCCCAGCAGCGGCTTCATCAGGCCGGTGACGCAGCGGCCCCGTCCTACCTGCCGTGGTGTTTCCAGCCCTGCACACAGAGACCACCTTCCTCATCTCTGTCCTTCTGGCCTCTGCAAAACTGACTACACACAAGAACTTTTCTGAAGACTACGAAGCAGGATCCTGACCTGGGCAATGGGATCGACTCTTAGCTGCCTATTTTTAACAGTGACAAAGGAAACAGCACCAAATGGCACAGTGTTTGTACCAGTTATTACCTGGACTACGACTGTGCCTGTCCAAGGTGTTGTCAGGGGGTCCAATTCCTCATTCAGCTGGGACAGCATGACCAAATAATTCCCCAAGCACAAAGGTGGGCGCCTTTCCAGGTGGGGAGGTCCTGCGTGGCCAGACAGCTATGGAGACAGACAGCAGTGACCAAAGGGGCCACTGCAACATCCCACAGCAGCACACTGCCTGTCAGCGTGAGGAAAGCCTGTTTGCCTACGCAGATAACTTCTTCTTTGGAAGAAAAGAGCCCAGAGCCATTGCCATTAGGAGCACCTTCTCAAGCACAGCAAAGCTAGGATCAACCCACCTTCTTGGGT